ACAGCAGGAGTACTGGTGACAAAAAGCATCATGGAAAGTCCTGTGAATATGACTGTAACAAGTCTATAAACTCAGGAGAAAAACAGCGCTGGCCAGAGCAGCCTTCCTAGGTCCAGGAGAAAGCACAGCCAACATGGCCACAGTAGGTGTTTCCCACATGTCTTAACGAATGGGCTGCAAGGGTGTTCTTGTCTTCTAAAAAAAATTTCAAACATAACAGGGGCTGCTAGCCGCTCATAGGAGAGCAGCACGAACATGGTGACAGTGAGCACAGAGGTTATGGGGCAAGCCATTGAAAAATCAAGTCAATGTTTACTTCCCAGACCCTGCTCATCTCAGCCTTTCAGAGCAAAGTCCACATGAGTGAGAGGGATGGAAAACAGCTGGCCCCCCGCCAGCAGGATTACCTCTTTAGTAAAGAGCCTCAAAGACCTGTACTACTCATGGTGCAGAGGTGCGTGTTGTCTAAGACTGAGGAGGAAAGCACTGCCATTCACCACAATACAAATGATCAACTCAAAATCTCTGCTGTAACACTTTCTCTAAAAACAGGAAAAGTAACAATAACACAATGGCAGCTTATGATCAGGCCCTGGCCTTTCTTTAACTTCCCCTAACTTGATATCTGTGAGTAAATGAATAGAAGACAAAATAAAATGTTCAAGGTGACTCTCAAAGATATCAACCTATATTAGAAAAAAAGAGAAGTTTAAAACTTGGAAAATACAACATATTCCCAGGAATAAAAGCAACCAACAGGAAAAATGTAAATAAGACCAGGAAAATGGTCTGATAAAATTGTTTTTAAAAGTCATAGCATTGACTATTTCCTCCCTTAAACGCTTACCTGGAAAATGAGGAATGACACGTGAATACCTAGCACACAGCAGGCACTGTGTAAATGACAGTGATTATTAGGGTCAGCAGTTGGGAGACAAACTTGAGTTTCATCATATTTCCTAAAGTAGCCTGAATCATTTGCCCTTCTACTCTATTGCCCAACTTAAGTCTTATTTAACTGCTTTGAAATTACTTATAAAATCTCTATTGATGCTAAATCTTAGTATTTCCAAAGAATTTTAATTGCCTGATGCCATTTAGAAATCTAAATTTTCATGAATTTGAAAGAGATTTCTTGTAGCAATTTCAGTCTAATCATAATGAAAAGATAGAGTGGGGTATAATATATTCATAAGCATGAACTCCAAAGTGTCCATCTTTTAGCCTATTGGTTCTGATTTTAGCATCAGACAAAGGAAAACAGAGATCTGAATACAGGATCACTTCAAAATCTAGACAAAAATTGGAAATCAGATTGATGTTCTAATTTTGCAAGTGAACATTTTCTTTCAGTCTAAAAATGATACATCAGGAACCAGATGTATGGATAATTTGGCTCCCAACTAAGTTTATATTTTTCCATAATATTCATATATCCTGAAGGTTTTATGCCTTGAATATAAAAGATATTTGATAAATATTTATTGGATTCAATTAAAGTAAGAGCTATTAATGTACAAATAATTTATTTCATTCTTAAAAATCTGGTTTATAAAAATTTACATAGAATTATATTAATTGCACTGATCCCAGACTCCTGTAGGCAGACTGGAAGGAAATGGGCTGCCATGAAGCTTATACACACAAGTCTTATGCCTTGCTGATTTCTCATGGTCTTCAAAAATGCTTAAAACATGAAAAAAATGTCTTCAAATATGAAAAATATCTCAGTTTGGATGTTTTAGTTTTGTAAATTCTAAGGCTGTGTTATTGAGAAAAATGCATCTATTCATGAATTACTTTGGGGCAAATAATTGCAAATGAAAATTTTCAAAAACTCTTTAAATATTTACAGTAAAAATTGTTTATTATGGAATGAAATTTCATTTCATGCTGGTGACTCCTTTAAAAGGTTCTAAAACAATGACACTGTAAGCTCTTTGTAGGAAGGAACTTACTGTATTTATAGTCAAGTAGTATGTTCTCCACACTGAAGTCCTGGACTAGTCACTGAATGCACTGCACATTTTGTATTTCTTCTCTAACTCTTCAATATAAATACTGTTTCTCTAAATCAATCTCTTTCAATTTTAAATTTCTTCAGTGCATATTGTTTCCCTCTGTTTCTGGTTATAAATCCTGATGCACATTACCACTAGATCTTATTATTAGATTACAGTTTTCTTAAAATTCTAAAACAACAGATATTTGATCATCTTTTAAAATCAAGCAATATACAAAATATTAAGTGAAATAAAGTAAATAATAGAATTAGGTTTTAAAATTACTATTTGTGAATGGCTGAATCATATATCCAGAAAATCCTTAACAATAAACTAAAAAAATAAGACAAGCTCAAAGATGTTTCAGGTTTTATATATGTAAATATTTATGTATATATATTTTTAATTGTAAAACTATAAAATTCTCAATATTATTTTGAAATTAAAATACACACATATGTGGCAGATAAATAAACACATACCTCAAAGAAGACACAAGTAATTATCCCAGATATACATTTTTAAGAATTTAGACTTAAAAGAATGTTAGTTAAAAAATCTTGCTCATGGTTTGTTAGATTAAATCCAGTTAAAAAAAAAAAAGACTATTTCACATGAAGTTTCTGTATTGAATACAGTACCCAGGCATAGTGGTGCATGCCTGTAATCCCAGCACTCCAGAAGCTGAGGCAGGAGGATTACCTCAAATTCAAGGCCAACCTAATATATATATATGATATATAAAATCTTAAAAGGTAGACTTTTTAAACTTGACTTAGTAATTATAAAATATAAATTGTGTAAAGCGAGCATTCAAGTAAGCTAATAGTATAACACAGAGTATAACACAAAGTAATAATGTTAACACTGAGTCATACTATTTACATATTAAGAAAGGAGAAATAAACAAGATTATAGAAGTGAATCCAAAATATATAGATGAAATATGAAAATAATATGAATTATTATTCAATGGAAAGTCCTACAAAAATGAGGTAACTAGTGAAAATCAATTTAGAGCCACATTTGTAATTTAGGTTTTTAAAAATCCTAAATAAAATAGAAATTATATATTAAACCAAAAATAGCTTTGAGAATTTAAATGAATTTGATAGTTGAGAAAACTATACAACAGAACTATGGGCGCGCACGCGCGCACACACACACACACACACACACACACACACACACACACACAAATTAAGGCAAAAGAAAAGCTATAGGGCCGGGGATTTAGCTCAGCGGGTGGCCTGCTCTGCAAGTACAAGGACCTGAGTTTGATCCCCGGTACCAAAAAAAAAAAAGCTATATATCAGAAAGCATTTTGTGGTAAATGTAACTACTAAAACCTTTAAATATCTAAAATAACAGAGGAAATAATAAATTTACTGAAGCAATACCAGTCTTTATAAAAAAAAGCTAAAGATAAAAATCTAATATTAAAAAATTATAAAACAAAACCATGTCACTAGCAAACCTAATAAGATTAAAATTTTGAAAGTTCAAATGCAAACATTAGTACTAAGGAACCAGATGTAATAATATTATTGATGATTTTTAGATCAGCAGAGCAATGCAATGATTAGAGTAAAAGCCCTTTATATTTTATTTTGTTCAAAGAAGTCTACTTTTTATTCTGTAACAAAGTAATGGTTAAAATATATATTCTTATAAAGACATTAATTTTATTAAAGAAAAAGTATGTAAAGATATTCAATATTGTAAAACAGCAACATAAGAGTATATTAATAAAGTTAAACTTATGCTTGTTAGTTTTCTCTACACTTTATCCATGTATATATGGGGCAAAAAAATCTATACTATATGCAAAAACTTTAAGTGGAGATATGAAACCTTAGAATATAATACTGTTCATTGATGAGCTTAGCTATTCTGACTATATACAAGGAAATGTGCAGATATAGGCCACAGATTTTGAGAATCAAAGGATTATGTTTCCATTTTACAAATATATTGCCAAAAGTTCTGTAAATATAAGAAGAAACTACCTTAAAAGTCTGATGAAGAAATTTTCAAGTACTATGATTGATGTGAATAACCTATGAAGTGTCCTACAAAAAAATTAATATTGGCATTTGAGTTGCTAAGACTCTGACATGAGGCCATGTGGAAAATGATGATTTCTTAGACAACTCAAAGGCTTCATATTTGTTGCAAGCAAAAAATTTTGAGACATAACACTTTTCTGAACAATTACTGGGAATTATTATCTATCCTAGCTCATTTTTTTCTACCCATGCTTTATGTGACTGACCTTTTAATATCATATTCTTTTGTATTCAGTTTCTTTTCATCTTGTGTAGAGATTTTTACTGTGCCTTCAAAATTTCCGAACAAATACTTTGCACTTTTCTGCAACTCCTCCAAGGGTTTATGATCCATAACTCACAAGAGGAATTTGAAGTTAATATGACAGAATTAAAATTGACTTAATGAAATGATGAAATGATTTCAAACTTATGGGCAGTGCTTTAGTGTTCTGTTTTCATTTTTTTATTATACTCCAAAACCCTCGGTAGGATATATATATATATATATACACACACACACACACACACACACACACACACACACACACATTATTCTATAATGTTCCCATTATACTAATATATATATATACACATATGTATGTATATATGTATATATACATATATACATATGTATGTATATATGTATATATACACACAGTCCTAATATATTTCCTTGTAACCTTTTACTATTTTTTAAATAGCTTATTTCTGGATCATGAGTACTCAAAAACCTTATAAAGTGACAAATTTTATCTCAACCAAGCATTTTTAAATAAAAATTATGTAAAATATGTCTTTACACATCCACACTCATCCACAGCAAGTTAACTAAAGAAAATTTCCAAAATGAACAAGATAAATGAATTTTTGAAGGTCTTATTTGGTCTTAAAAACACAGGCAATTATTTTTAAGTTCTACTGTACCTTAATAAAAGCAAACCTTTACCTGTGCAAGCATGGGAAAGCCAAGGTTCCTACATCCATTACAAGGAGTTAATGCTTCCCAAAGTCCTGAGGGCCCGCAAGTGTTTTCATCATCATCTTCTTCTTCTTCCACTTCTCCTGGTGACAAATTTATTGTAGATGAAGTTCTCTGAAATCAAAGTTATATTATACCAATATATTATGTCAATGTTATTCAGATATCTTAACATCAAATTACATAAATATTTGTGCTGTATTTTGGCAAGCAAAAGTGTGCTCACTTCTAGGCACAGTTATCTGACTGTGCCATGTGACTGACCAAGAAATACATACAGTTCAACTTATGTTAAAAAACCTGGGTGAGAAAGACATGAAACAATGACATTTGTAATGAAAACTAGAGCATGATAATGACATAAGAACATATCTGAATAGCAATAAATAAGGAAAACTTTATGATTTATCAAGAATTTAAGCTTACACATAAAAGCAAAGGAAAATACAGTTAGGTGATGGCACAAATTACTTGGATGAAACAGGAATTGCTAATAAAGCCTATTTCTTTACTATGCTGCCAAAAATAAACTTCATAAAATTTTATATCATAATATGACAGGGGTGATACTTTAAAATTTACAACAATGCTTCCATGTTAACCAGACACGTTTACTTTTATTACCTATCAAAGTCCACTAGAGTGACAGTAAAGGTTTATTAAAATGTCTAAACCACAAGGACAAGGACAACAGGAGAGATGTGACTAGTGAGCAACAAGAGAACTTCTAGACAAGGATGAGTAGCTTTTGGATAAAAGGTGGGGAGGTAGTGTGTATCCAACTTAAATTGAGAAGAGCTGGAGGGCTCGGCTATCAGTAAAGGTGCTAGATTGGGCAAACCCAGAACAGAAACCTATCAGAAGGAATCTGTTTCCTCTGTCCACACACCTTCTTACTCAACAAGGAAACCAAACCTTTACCACTGGCAAGAAACTAGAGGTTTATTTCCCCGAGGTGTTGAAGCAAGGGGACTATGAATTTTAAGACTTTATATACACTGAACACAGAGATGCCTCTCTAAAAGCGGGAGCTGAAGTTAAACTTGTACACAGCAAGACAACTCTCCACCTTCCCAGCTCCTTTCCATATTTGCCTTAGCAAACAGGACAGCTGGGCTTACACGAGTCTCTGTACAAAAAGCTACCTTTAGGATGGTGTGAACACACTTTGTCCCGTCCAAAACTCATTTTGGAGTTTAATGCCCGAGAGAGTAAAAATCCACCACTTTTTTCAACACAGTACTCAAAAATCTAGCCAAAACTTTGAGCAAGAGAAAAAAATAAAAGAGAAGCATACAGGAAAGGAAGAAATCAGATTATCACTACTTGCAGATGACATGATACTCTACACAGACGAGCCAAAGAATTCCATCAAAACACTCTTAGAACTAATAACCAATTTCAGCGATGCAGCAGGATGCAAAATCAACACATAAAATATCAATAATATTCATGTACACTAACAATGAACCTAACGAGAAAGAAATTATGAAAAAAATGCCATTCACAATAGCATCAAGCAAAATTAAATACTCAGAAATCAACCTAACCAAGGAAGTAAAAGACCTCTACATTGAAAACTACAGCACTCTTGAAAAGAGTTGAAGAGGACATCAGAAAATGGTAGAGCTTGGAGTGGTGCTGCATGCCTGTGATCCTAGCACTTGGGAGACTGAAGCAGAACTGTTGTGAGTCAAGGGCAGAGTGAATCACATAGTAAGGCCTTGCGTCAATAGAAGGGAAGGGGGGAAGGGGAAGGGAAGAGAAAATGGAAAGATGTCCCTTCTCCTGGATAGGCAGACCCAATATTGTCAAAATGGCCATACTCTCAAACTGTTACAAATCCAATTCAATTTTAGTCAAAATTTTGAACAGCATTCCTTATAGAAGTAGATAAATCAGTCCTAAAATTCACATAGAACCCGAAGAGATCCAGAATAGCAAAAGCATCTTGGACAACAACAGCAAAGCAGGAGTGATTACAATATCTGACTTCAAGTTATACTACAAAGCAATAGTGATGCATGGATGATACTGGCACAAAAACAAACATGTGGATCAGTAGAACAGAACAGAGGACACAGAAATGTCCCCAGATACCTTCAGCTGCCTGATCTTTGACAAAGGGGCCAAAAAAACCTATGTCTGAGGAAAGACAGCTTATTCAACAAATGGTCCTCGGATAACTGGCTATCTATTTGCAGAAGACTGGAGCTGGACCCATCTCTCTCACTATGTACAAAACTAAAATCAAAACTGATCAATGATTTAACATTAACACAGAAATTGAACATACTGGAAGATAAAATAAGTGAAAAGCTTGAAGACATAGGTACAAGCAAGGACTTTCTGAACCAAATTCCAATTGCACAGGAAATAGCAGTAAGAATCTACCAATTTGATTGATTGTATAAAATTTTAAAACTTCTACACAGCCAAGAAAACAACAGAGTGAAGAGATAACCTACACAATGGGAAAAGAAATTTTGCCAGCTATTCCAAAAACAGGACTATATCTAGACTTACAAAGAACTCAAAAAAATTAGATTAGATCACCCAGAATAAAAGAATCCATCAAGAAATGGGCAAGTGAAATGAATAGATTCTTCTCATAGGAAGTAAAAATGGCCAACAGATATATGAAAAAATGATCACTATCTCTGGCCATTAGAGAAATGCAAATTAGAATAATGCTAAGATTCCATGTTATACCAGAAAGAAAGACAATTATCAAGAAGTCAACGAATAACAAATGCTAGTGTAGCTGTGGTGAAAAGGAGCCCTTCTACCTTGTTAGTGGGAATATAAACTAGTACAAACATTATGAAAATCATTATACTAAGAACTTAAATAATCAATTTTTAATGACAGAACTGTTTTTCATTAATTATTTCAATCCACAAAATATCCTTTTATAAATGAGGAAACTAAAGCACAGAAACGTCAAATGAATCCCAAGGTCACACAGCTGATAAGTGGCAGAAAAAGAAACATTAAGTCAGACTGCCAGACTTATTCCAGACTGTAGACCTTAGTTGTCCTTAACCACTACTATGTGACCCCCTCATTTGGCACAATATCCTACAAAACACAATATAAAGAAAAGCCAAGCTGATGTAGTTGCAGCTTAAAAGAAGAGGTATATTTTTAGCGTTTCTGCTACATGAAGATACTTCTCAGAACATTTTGCCATCTGTGACAGCCACTGAAATCTTCTGTAATTTAGTACAGAGCAGCTCGTATTTTCATAAATACATGTTTCCCTAATCAGTAATAAAAGGTGATGATTACAGTGCATTTTGTCTCCTTCAGATCCTCTCCGTGAAAAAGAAAAATCTTGAGCGGTCTAAATCTTAATCTAACAAAAGCATGTATATACAATGCTCCATCAGTATGGTCCACAAAAACAAGGATAAAACGATCCGAGGCACCCTTCACCAGTTCACAATTTGTTAATGGTTTGTCCCTCAACGATGATACAGCAAAGTACTATAAACCATCACATACTTGGCTGAGAGCTATAAATATTACTTAGATCAACATTCCACTTCTTTTCCACTTTTGTTAATGATCCTGCAATTATTAAACCCAGTCATACTGTGAGCTTCCTCAAGTTCCTTCTTTCTTAAAAAAATAAAATCTGTTTGTGCGTGTTGTGGTTTTGATCTGGAATGTCCCTCAAAGGCCATGTGCTGGGGGCTTGCGGTTGCCAAATGATGGGTGCTGGGAAGGTGATTAGATCATGAGGGCACTAACTTCATCAATGGATTAATCCACGGTGACGCAGAGCTGAATGGGCTGTTAGGAGTGGGGCCCAGGGAGAGGAAGCGAGTCACTGGCAGCGCCATCTGAAGAGTATGTCTTGTCCTCAGCCCTGTCGCTTGGCGTTCTCTCTCTCTCTGTCTCTCTCTGACTCTGTCTGTCTCCCTTCCTCCCTCTTTCCTTCCTTTTCTTCTTCTCCCTCTCTCTCTCTTACTGCATCTTAGCTATCATGAGGTAAACAGCTTTTCTGCCACGCCCTTCTGCCATGATGTCTCTGCCTTGCCACAGGCCTAAAAGCAGCTGACCATGGACTGAAACCTCTGAAACCACAAGCTAAAATAAAATTTACTCCTTTAAATTGTTTATGTCAGATACTTTGTCACAGCAATGAAAAGTGACTATCACAATGTCTCTTCCCTTCTCATAAATTTCTATTTCCGAGTACATATAAAATAATGTCCAAATTCTTTAATCTGTCTTCAAGGTTTTATGGTCGAACTATTTTTTGGCCTTTCTTTTTATTTCATTATACTCATCTCATATTCCAATCAAGTGCAATTGTTTACCACTGCCTAATAATGCTTCATGCTTCTATTCATATTTTCCATCTAATATGTACAGTACACTGTTACTAGTTAAGAATGTAGCCTCTAAGATTAAATAGTGCTCAATTCAAATTCCAACTTTTCCTCTTATTAATTGTACAGTTTTGAGAAGATATGACAACTGTCAGCCTCACTTGCCTTATCTGTGCAATGGAAAACAACAGACTTTCTGCTATTATTTTCTTATAATCCTATGGATTCAAAATACAGTACCACCCTTACATAAAACTTTCCAGATATCCTACAAACAGAAACAATGTCACTTTCCTATGTATCTGTACTGTTCTTCATGTGAATGTGTATTATGGCATTTCATATACACCTGAAATGAGAAATGGCATACTGGGAAAGAAATTTAGCTTTGAAGTCAAATACATATATATTTAGTCTTCACTCTGCAACTTCCAAGCTTTGTGACTTTCAGCAAGTCACATAATCTTATTAATCCCCAGTTTCTTTATCAGCAAAAGTTGGCAAAATAAGTTCCAGTTTGGAAGCGCAATATCTGGATAAATTAATTGCTTGCCAGTGAATGGAATATAAAAATAATAATTATTACTATTTTTATCATTATCTTTATCCTGAACGAGTTTACAAAGTGTGCTTGTGGTGCATGCACACTTGCACACACACGTGTGCCTTATTATCCCCATTTAATTGTGAATTACTTGAAAGAAAGCATTGCCTTATTCACATTTGTATCTCACACAAATGTATTATGCAAAATGGAACCTAATAAATATTTAT